ATTGGCCAGGCAACCGGAGGGCAACTAGTGGAGAGGAGATATGAAAGCAGGAAGGATGCTGTAGGCTTGGCCCTTACCCATACAAGCATAGGGTTGGTGTTTGCAGGCTTGGCCCTTACCCGTGCAAGCATAGGGTTGGTGTTTGCAGGCTTGGCCCTTACCCGTGCAAGCATGGGGTTGGTGTTTGCAGGCTTGGCCCTTACCCGTACAAGCATGGGGTTGGTGTTTGCAGGCTTGGCCCTTACCCGTGCAAGCATAGGGTTGGTGTTTGCAGGCTTGGCCCTTTACCATGGGGTTGGTGTTTGCAAGCACAAGGGTGGGGTTTGGTGTTTGCAGGCTTGGCCCTTTACAGGCTTGGCCTTTACCCATACAAGCATGGGGTTGGTGTTTAAGGTTGGTGTTTGCAGGCTTGGCCCTTACCCGTGCAAGCATGGGGTTGGTGTTTGCAGGCTTGGCCTTTACCCATACAAGCATATGGGGTTGGTGTTTGGGCTTGGTGCTTGCAGGCTTGGCCTTTACCACACAGCAAGGCTTGGCCTTTACCCATAAGGTTGGTGTTTGCAGGCTTGGGCATAAGGTTGGTGTTTTGGCCTTTACCCGTACAAGCATAGGGTTGGTGTTTGCAGGCTTGGCCTTTACCCATACAAGCATAGGGGCTGATGAAATTATTATTATTTTAAAGTGACCCTTTCCTCTGTCCATGCAATATTAATGAAAGGGTCATCTAACCCCTCACCCCCACCGTTTCCCTCATATAACAGTGCTGGTACCTAGTGATTGGACCAGTGCTGTCACATGAGGGTGGGTGGGGAAAAAGTCCTGTATAAGCTCTGACAAGTTGCACACAGGGCTGTTTCCCAGCTTCAAGAGTGTGAAAAGGAGAGCTGGGAATAGGGTGGGGGAACTCCCAAGAGCACTTTTTACTTTTCTTCGCATTGATCTAAGAAAAAAGACCATGCAACGTAGTAGGCAGCGGCCCCAGAAATGCATCTTCAGTTTGGGTTTTAATTTTACATAAGAGTAGAAATCTGAACACTAGAGATATAGGACGTCAGAAAATACAGGGAGTCATTTTAGCTACATCAATTGAGTCTCAGCTAGTGAAGGGCCTGGGATTCAAAGGACGGCTCAGAATGGCAGGCCTGGGTTCAGGGATCAAATAGGACACAGCTTGGCACAGTTCACCAGATATCAATACCAGTGCTTGGCAGAGACCTGCTTACATGGTCTAGGAGATCTGCCAAGTCATAGTAGGGGGCTCACTGACAGATACCACTACACTTTATAGTCATGTGGTCAGGATATTAACAAGTAAACAAGACTTAAGGTCAAAATGCAGCTCAACACATTTTAGAATAGAGAAAAGGTATATGAAGAATGAGTACATTTAAACTATAGGCTGGTTTAGAAAAAGGAGCCATGGATCTCATTCACGAGGGTACGAGGACGAGTTCTGTCACCTTATCAGAACTTGAACAATGGGAGATAAAGGCTCTTTTTATATTTGCCAGCACTTTAGAACCCAAAGTCCATTAAAATCCACCCTGGAAATCGACAGCTGGTGCAGGAGAGGGTCCTGTTAGAGTTACTTAGGAGCTGGAAGACAGCGTGTTTATCTGACAGTGAGGCAATTGAAAGACCCTCAAGGGGCGTCCCAACTTTGATTACTATGGCGGACCTGGCTGTACTGCAAACCTACGTATGTCTGATCCATACATCTTCAGAGACTTGTCAACTTTCACATACACATTTGTCAATGCCATTAGTAGCTACTAGGCAGTCTGTACCTTCCAAGGATGGAGTACAAGTCTTTCCATACATTGATGTAGGTGGGCTGTCGTGTGATTTACATGTTCTTTAACTTGGCACATAAAACCCAGGGCTGTGTGACGTCTGAGCCTAGAAGAGGTGCTGCTGTAAGCATCTATTCAGATCTATCGCTATCTCGGTCAATACTTCCCAAACAGCCTGTCTTGTCTTGGGTTCAGACTCCATGCAGTCCTCATTTCTACCATGGAAGTTAGCAAGTGCTGCAGGCTATATTCCTCAGCTCTCTCATGGAAGATAACAAAAGGAGACAAAACAGGGCCTCTAAATGTAGACGTCTAATAGATTTAATAGCAAATATGTTAGGCAACGCACATGTATAAAGAATACAACAGGCTCGCCCCTATTGTCTGTCATAAAACCAAGGGTGACTGGACTGCCATACAGCACAGGCAGATGCCGGGGCACTCAAGTGCGTCTCCGGCGTGGGTGGAGGAAGCTGGATGGCACCTCTGCCACTGGGAGCCAAAGACTGGAACTGACTTTGTGCATGCTCAGAAACGCATTGCAACCCCCTGGTGCCGTCAAGATGCCTTACGCTTGTGTTCCAGCCTTGCAGAGGCGCCGGCCAGCTTCCTCTATCCATGCCAGAGACAGACACTTGAGTGCCCCAGCGTCTCCTGTGCTCTATGACGGTCCAGTCACCCTTGGTTTTAGGAAGAGCCTGTTATATTCTTTATACATGTGAGTTTCCTAACCTAGTCACTATTACATCTACACTTAGAGGAGCTGTGCTTTCTCTCCTTTGTTTGCATATCCAGAGCCAGCTTCTGCTCTCGTCTCAGCCTACTTTTAGTGGATGGACTTTTTATGAAGTACACAAACTGGACTATATTACTGACATTATTCCGGGACTATTCTCCTTAACCATGTTCTATGCACCCAACTTTCTAATATTGTTCTCCCATCGAAGTTATGGAGCTGAGAGTTACAGACGTATTCCTCAGCTCTCCCAAAGAAGTTAGCAAGTTGAGAGCTATAGACCTTATTCCTTGGCTCTCCCATGAAAATTAGTGAGCCAACCTACAGACCATATTCCTTGGCTCTCCCATGAAAGTTAGTCGAGCCAAGGGCTACAGACCATATTCCTCAGCTCTTCCATGGAAGTTATCGAGCCAAGGGCTACAGACCCTATTCCTCAGATCTTCCATGGAAGTTATCGAGCCAAGGACTACAGGCCATATTCCTCAGCTCTCCCATGGAAGTTATCCAGCTGAGAGATAAGGACCTTATTCCTCAGCTCTCCCATGGAAGTTATCGAGCCAAGGACTACAGACCCTATTCCTCAGCTCTCCCATGGAAGTTATCGAGCCGAGGGCTACAGACCATATTCTTCAGCTCTGCCATGGAATTTATTGAGCCGAGGGCTACAGACCAAATTCCTCAGCTCTCCCATGGAAGTTATCAAGCCGAGGGCTACAGACCATATTCCTCAGCTCTGCCATGGAATTTATTGAGCCGAGGGCTACTGACCAAATTCCTCAGCTCTCCCATGGAAGTTATCGAGCCGAGGGCTACAGACCATATTCCCCAGCTCTTCCATGGAAGTTATCGAGCTGAGAGCTAAGGACCTTATTCTTTTGCTCTCCCATGGAAGTTATCGAACCGAGGGCTACAGACCATATTCCTCAGCTCTCCCAAGGAAGTTATCGAACCGAGGGCTACAGACCATATTCCTCAGCTCTCCCATGGAAGTTATCGAACCGAGGGCTACAGACCATATTCCTCAGCTCTCCCAAGGAATTATCGAACCGAGGGCTACAGACCATATTCCTCTCTCCCATGGAAGTTATCCAGCTGAGAGATAAGGACCTTATTGTTCAGCTCTTCCATGGAAGTTATTGAGCTTGGAAGTTAGCAACCTTTCTTTGCAGGGAGGACCGCTTTTATAGTTTCAAAAACAGCAACAGAGCTCTTCAATTCTCCAGCACTCTTGTAGAAGTTAACAAGCTCTGCATGTCGCTAAAGTCGCCCCTTACCATTATTAAGTGGAAAGAACATAAAACGTTCCTGAGCCATCCCCACATTTACCATATTTTTTTCAACTTTTACATCAATATTAGCACAACCGTTCAAACATGTCGACGCATTTCACCTTCGGTCACTAGCTACCACGGAAGCATGGCACAAGGTATGCACTATGCTTCTTATTTACAAACAAGCAGCCCAAAACAACGACTCTACATACACGAACACCTACCTACTGCACTTACCTACTCAGGAAAACCCTGACGAAAACTGTTGCTAAGCGTCCCCTTTTTTTTTTTTCTTAAGATCTAGTTATGGATTGACTTACAGTATCGGTGCTACTTATCAACTGCAAGTTTTATTAATTTGATGCCCGTTTCTAAAAAAAGTAAGGAAAAAATGAAAAAAAAAAATTAAGGAAAGGAAAATGCCTCCTCCCCTTCACTGCGGTCAATACAGAGGTATTTAAAAATATATATTTTATCTTTCAGCGTCTCAGGGGGTTGAGTGTCAGTCAGTGCCTTGATTATGGAGATAGAAGGGAACTGGTGATGGAAAATGTGCTATATCCCAGGACCCGGATTGCCTGCAGGATCAAAACATGCACTTTAGGCCTTTTCTCTCACAAAATCGAAAAGATTCAAATTTAAAACATTCTAAACAATAATACAACGATGACGGCAAAAAAAAAAAAAAAAAAAAAAAAAAAAAAAAGAAGCACTGTTCTTCCTTCATATCTGTATTAAGTGTCTCCACAGGCAGCGGACTCATGTTGATACAACAAATGTTTATCACTGATGCGTTTCCATAGTGCAAGACGGTGTACAATCTCTTCTCTGGCCCATGTGATGGGTCACACGAAGCTCAGCAAAGGTGATCGGTCATCTGGGACATCAGCAAAACAGAAAAGAAGAGAGAAAATGAAAAATAGAAAAAAAAAAATGTACGATGTCAGCTGCTTCAGGAAGCAGGCGGGCCTCAAGGCTTTGGGCCCAGCCCGGTCCTTAGTGTCACGGAGTGTGAGTCTGTGGATTAGAGTCTTATGGAGTTTATAGCACAATGCTGTCTTGTGCTTTGTTAGTCAGTTACTTCCAGGTGAGTCTTTGACATATTTGGCTAATGGCTTTAGTTTTCACTTTTATTTATTTATTCTTTTTTTTAAAAGGTTGGCAACTGGTTGAAGAGTGGCGGGAGCTGGCCGGACGTTATTTGACCTTCTGGGCCCACTTTAAGTCGTCTGACCGCGGTTTCTCCCCCGTGACGCCGTGGATGATCTCTTCGAGCCGTCGCCAGAATCCGATCTTTTCTAGCGGGTAGTTCAACCAACCTTGACCGGAGATACAAAGAATAAAAGGGTTAGAATGGTGATTGATGAGACCAGTATATTGCTGCTCACACAGCTTAGATACATTCTCCTTTTAATTGATCAGGCACTAAATAGTGGGAGGGACTACATCAGAGCAAGCCGAATATAGAAACCCAAGGAGGTAGATTTACTAAAACTGGAGCACTCAAAATCTGGTGCAGCTGTGCATGGCAGCCAATCAGCTTCTAACTTCAGATTGTTCAATTAACTTCGGCAATAAAACCTGCAAGCTGATTGGTTTCTATGCCCAGCTGCACCAGATTCTGTATGCACCATGAAGTTTTAGTAAAGAAACCCCCCCAAAAAAGTCAACCATGCCTATGCCTGTCCGCAGCATTGCATCATGCCAAGTGCACAATGTACCTAACCGAGTTTTTTTTCCTGGTTTATCTTTATACCACGTCAGCTTTAGCATGCTAGGGAGCAGTGGACACCTCTCATTTAATTCAAATTTGTGCTTCCCTGTTAGAGGACTACAGGCATCAAATGTTACTTTCATAACAAAGGGTTGTAGGTCATATGATGTTTTTTGCACCTATAGCTTAGCAGAGTTCTCCTTTAAAGCTGATGTTTAGTTATAGTAGAATTCCAGGCTGAACCTGACTAGCCTTAAAAATGATCCCTCCCACCTCCTAACACCTATGCTGTCTAGTCCGTGTAAAAAGGTCTGGTCACCTGACGCCCTGTGTCAACCAGCAGCAGCTGCAGGGGAGAGAGCCTGGGAGCGGAGACGTCGCCCATAAGAACCAAAGTCCCAGTCGTTGTCAGCATTCCCTCCTCCAGCCACCACTGCAGAAAGATGAGTATACTTACCTATTTTTCAGTCTGCTCTAGTCACACGAACTCCCCTGTGTCAGCTAGCGGTGGTTGCAGGGGAGAGGGGAGAGTTCTCTGACAATGCCTGGGCTCCTATAGCCCATCCATTGTGTTTGTCAGTGTCAGTGCGTGTCAGTGTCTGTGTCAGTGTGTGTGTGTCTGTGTCAGTGTGTGCATGTCTCTCAGTGTGTGTCAGTGTGTGTCTGTGTGTGTGTGTGTCAGTGTGTGTCTGTGTGTGTCAGTGTGTGTCTGTGTAAGTGTGTGTGTGTGTCAGTCAACGTGTGTGTGTGTGTCAGTCAACGTGTGTGTGTGTGTCAGTCAACGTGTGTGTGTGTGTGTCAGTCAGTGTGTGTGTGTGTGTCAGTCAACGTGTGTGTGTGTGTCAGTCAACGTGTGTGTGTGTGTCAGTCAACGTGTGTGTGTGTCAGTCAACGTGTGTGTGTGTGTCAGTCAACGTGTGTGTGTGTGTCAGTCAACGTGTGTGTGTGTGTGTCAGTCAACGTGTGTGTGTGTGTGTCAGTCAACGTGTGTGTGTGTGTCAGTCAACGTGTGTGTGTGTGTCAGTCAACGCGTGTGTGTGTGTCAGTCAACGTGTGTGTGTGTCAGTCAACGTGTGTGTGTGTCAGTCAACGTGTGTGTGTGTGTCAGTACACGGACCAGTTAGGAGCAACAATATGCACTGAGCTGAAGGACCAGCTTATCTTCCAGTCAAAGATCATCTCACCACAATGCCACGAGGCTGCAGGCCACGGCGTCTGAAACCGATGACACTTGACGCTGAAATCACTTACCTGTCGTTATACAGAAATAGGTTTCGTGCGGAGACACGTGATGGATGCGGTGGTGTTTGCGGGGTAAAATGATGTGCCAGTCTTGGAGGAAGACCACCCAGGAAGGAAGACCGAAGTAGGTGTGAGACCACTTGTGAATCTGGTTGGTGAGCGTGACAAACATGGCCAAAGCGAATATGAAGCAGTCGGTGGCGTAGGACTTATAGATGAGATCTGCGATAGAAGAGACGGGTGACAAAATATGGAAATGTTTATGTACGTCATTGCTGTTCGTAAGAGTAAAAGAGCTACAAAGTGCAATATCCCTTAGCAACCAACATAGAAGGGGACCAGGACATTCTCAGCCTCCTTGTGATGGGGATACTAGTGTGTGTGTCTATAACATGCAGCACAGCGGCTAAATGGTTAGCACTTCCACCTGGCAGCACTCGGGTCGTCGGTTCGAATCCCAACCACAGCACCACCTGCCTGGAGCTTGCATGTTTTCCCTGTGCGGGTTTCCTCTGGGTACTCCGGTTTCCTCCCACACTCCAAAGACATGCTGGTAGGTGAATTGGCTCCTGTCTAGATTGTCCCTAGTATGTGTATGTATGAATGTGAGTTAGGGACCTTAGATTGTACAACCCTTGAGGGTTAGGGACTGATGTGAATGTACAATATATATGTAAAGTGCTGCGTAAATTGATGGCGCTATATAAGTACCTGAAATAAAATAAATAAATAACACCAGTTGCATTTTTTTTTTGGGGGGGGCGGGGGGGGGGGATATAGGGGAAAAGGTACGAACCTCAAACCCCTGTTTTTCCTTTGGTCTGAGACATCTTATGGGAGATTTCCCTCACTTCCTGCACTGGTGGCAAACGTCCCAATACAGGAAGTTAGGGGAGATCTCCAATAGTGACACGGAAGTTCAAGGTGGTTCCTCCAATGCTCTCATTGCCACCGATGTCTCTACTGGAGGTTTCTCCTCTCACTTTCAATACTGGCCAGGAAAGTTTTCACCTGGAGGAGAAAGAAGAAGAAGGGGGAGAAAGAAGAAGAAGGAGGAGAAGGAAGAAGAAAGGAGGAGGAGGAGGAGAAGAAGAGAGAAGAAGAAGAAGAAGAGGAGGAGAAGAAGAAGGAGGAGAAGGAAGAAGAAAGGAGGAGGAGGAGGAGAAGGAGGAGAAGGAGGAAGGAAAGGAGGAGGAGGAGGAGAAGGAGGAGAAGGAAGAAGAAAGGAGGAGGAGGAGGAGGAGAAGGAGGAGAAGGAAAAGAAGAGGAGGAGGAGAGGAGGAGGAGAAGGAAGAAGAAAAGGAGGAGGAGGAGGAGAAGAAAGAAGAAAGGAGGAGGGAGGAGAAGGAGGAGAAGGAAGAAGAAAGGAGGAGGAGGAGGAGAAGAGAAGGAGGAGAAGGAAGAAGAAAGGAGGAGGAGGAGGAGAAGGAGGAGAAGGAAAAAGAAAAGGAGGAGAGAAGGAAGAAAGAAAGGAGGAGGAGGAGAGGAGGAGAAGGAAGAAAGGAGGAGGAGGAAGGAAGAAGAAAGGAGGAGGGAGGAGGAGAGGAGGAAAAGAAAGGAGGAGGAGGAGAAGGAAGAAGGAAAGGAGGAGGAGGAGGAGAAGGAAGAAGAAAGGAGGAGGAGGAGGAGAAGGAAGAAGAAGGAGGAGGAGGAGGAGAAGGAGAAGAAGAAGAAAGGGAGGAGGAGGAGGAGGAGGAGAAGGAAGAAGAAAGGAGGAGGAGGAGAAGGAAGAAGAAAGGCGGAGGAGGAGGAGGAGGAGAAAGGAGGAGGAGGGAAGAAGGAGGATAAGGAGGCGAAGAGGAGGAAGGAGAAGGAGAAAGGAGGAGGAGGGAAGAAGAAAAGGAGGAGGAGGAGAAGGAGGAGGGAAGAGGAAGAAAAAGAGAGGTCTTGAGAAGGAGAGGAGGAAGAAGGAGGAGAGGAGGAGGAAGAAGGAAGAAGGAGGGAAGGAAGAAACGGGAGGAGGAGGAGAAGGAAGAAGGAAGAGGAGAAGGAAGAAGAGAAGGAAGAAGGAGAAGGAGAGGAGGAGGAAGGAAGGAAGGAGGAGAAGGAAAAGAAGAAGGAAGAAGAAGAGAGAGGAGGAGAAGGAAGAAGGAAGAAGAAAGGAAGGAGGAGGAGAAGAAGGAAGAAGAAGAAAGGAGAGGGAGGAGGAGAAGGAAGAGGAGGAGAAAGGCAGAAAGAAGGAAGAAGAAGAGGAGGAGGAGGAGAAGAAGGAAGAGAAGGAAGAAGAAGGAAGAGGAGAGAGGAGGAGGAGGAGAAGAAGGAAAGAGGAGAAGGAAGTAGAAGGAAGAAGAAAGGAGGAGGAGGAGGAGGAGAAGGAAGAGGAGGAGGAGGAAGTAGAAGGAAGAAGAAAGGAGGAGGAGGAGGAGGAGAAGGAAGAAGAGAGGAAGGAGGAGGAGGATCCTTGAGGAAGGACTCCTTCCTCCTTCCTCGTATGTGCTGCGGAGAAGGAGGAGAAGAATAGAGGAAGAAGAAGAGGAGGAGGAGGAGGAGAAGGAAGAAGGAAGGAAGAAGAAAGGAGGGAGGAGGAGAAGGAGGAGGAAAGAAGAAGGAAGAAGAAAGGAGGAGGAGGAGGAGGAAGAAGAAGGAAGGAGAAGGGAGCAGGAGGGGAGGAGGAGAAGAAAAAGTATAAAACTCCCCAACTCTGTTAAAAACTAAATCGTCATCGAATTGCCTTAAAAATAGGCAGTTGAGCCGTGGTTTTACTGCACTCCCCCCGACCACACCCCTTAAGTTAACACCGCAGCTGGGGGGGGGGGGGTTGGACACAAAAATTATACCCACCGTGGCATTCTGCAGGCATTACTGCCACCGAAACACAACCTATTAAAAGTGAAGGCAGTCACGCTACAACCACCCTACTAAACGGTCTGCAAAGCACACAGTTGTGGCACAGTGGTGCAGGCTTTTCAGATCACACATTTTCCTTTTTTTAATTCTCACAGAGCTTACAGAAATGTCACAAGTGACATCTGAATACAGTTCTATTCACTGCAGCCGCGTTGTGATAAAAGGTGGTTTGCGATGTAACCCGCTGCACAAAAAAAAAAAAAAAAAAAAAAAAAAGTACTTTTCTCTTTCAGCAAACACTACGGAAATGCTGCTATGTGAACACTATAGGAAACATGCTGTTCATTGGTGCTGTGCACTAAATAGCTACCAGTGGAGCCCCAGGCAACTGGTGTGAAGTAGTAAGTACCACCTGCTATGTAACGAATTTTCATAGTTCCAAAACATACAGACCGACATCCTTTAATTCGCTGCTAAAGTAATTTTGAATAGTGATCTAAAACCGATCGATTTGCAGTTATCCGATCAGCAGCATTCAGGAGGTTGTTGCTATGGAAACCAGATAACATTGTCATGGCGTCACCAGCATGGACTCCAGGTGGTGGCAGAGAAAAGGGACAGCCCGTTTCTCCCACGTTGGAGCTATTTATAATCGCTGGTAATGGTGTCACTACTGAGAGCAATAGGTCACGGTTACCAATGATATCACATTGGTCGGGAGATCTGCTGCAAAAACCAGTGCGACTCCGCACTGGAAGAACAGGCTATGGGCAGTACAGGCAGCTTCTCCAACAAACACTTTGGGTATGTAGGGTCCTTTGTGTGCAAATTCTAGGATACAGAATGAGTATATAGATGGGACATATCCCACACGTGGTATTGGCTATACTTGATCTACTCTCCGAAAATAGAGTTTCACAATTCTGCACATCACCTAAACCAGGGGTAGGCAACCTGCCGCTCTCCAGCTGTTGTGGAACTACATTTCCCATGAGGCATTGCAAAATTACAAAACTGACAGTTACAGCTATGACTTGCAGAGGCATGATGGAACTTGTAGTCCTGCAACCGCTGGAGAGCCTCAGGTTGCCTACCCCTGACCTAAACAAAAGGTATTAAGTTCAGCGATTTCTCCCTGCACCAAGTCTGAGGACTCGCACGGACGCTTCGGTTTGCCTCCAGGAGCCGGAGTTTGGACGGCTTGGAACCAGGGGCGGGCTGACCATTTCGAAACTCGGGCACTGCCCGAGGTCAGTAGGGGGCCCCATGAGATGCCCCTGGTACCTTTTTCATAGGCTTTTTTGAGTTTGGGCAAGGACACAGGGGCCCCATGATCCCCAATTGCCCGGGGGCCCCATGAGTTGTCAGTCCGCCCCTGCTCGGAACAGAGCAACTTGTTTCGTGTCATCTAAGCAGTGGCAAACCTGGTTATGTCTCCCTAGCCAAATATCCACTGGCCTGATTGGATCAGCTGCAATGAGACGTAAATGGATAAGTTCACCTTTTTGGAAAAAAATAAATAAATGAACATTTTTTGCAGGAAGAAATAAAATGTACATTTATTACTTTTTGACCCACAGGAGCCTGGAAAGAAATGCACCCGTGATCAGTGAATGCCAGACTCCTGCAGACAAGCCCTGCGGCTATCAGCCGGTACCTGCATACCGTCTGCAGGGATTGTGAATGAACCACGAGACTGCTGATCAGAGACCGCGCAGTTCACTCAGCACTACAAGCATGGTTGTACTTGTAGTTCAGATTATTCACAGGAAGCTGTGAATGAATAATGACCCGGCTGTATGGGCGGAGCCCCGCACGGACGCGTTATTTTCAAATGGTGAAAGCGGCGCAGGAAGAAGCCGCCAGTGCTACACAACAGCGCCATGGAGGGATTCTCCAATCCTGTGATGTGTTGAGGGAGGAATCAAGCAATGTTCTTCCCTTCAGCCTGGAGTTGAAGGAAAGAAAACTGCATAACGTACGGCCTACCTTAGGGACTCAAAGTAATTAAAAGCAGATAAGAAGCAAGACAGCCAGGAAACAAATATATTCACACAGATCACAAGCAGCAACCCATTCAGATCTCACATAACATGTTCCCTTTAATACTGGAAGGATAAATCCTAAGATTTCCCATTCAGAAAGTAAACTCCCTAAAGTGATATGGGAAATCCGGCACTCACATATATTACCTGGTGAGTGGCTGATGAATTTAAAGGCCAGACAGGACAGGGGAATGATGGTCAGCATGCAGTTATCTCCGTTGGTTTCTATGAAGTCGTGCCGGGTGATGGCAGTGGGATCGATATGATGTTCCCGGAAGGGTCTGATGAAGGCCTGGAACAATGAGAATTAACAAATGAGTACAGATACATTACAATTGCATAAACATAATCACATTGTTTCCAAAACGTAATAAAGTTCGGTTTTGGAGGGGGAAGGAATTCTCAAACACACACCAATGACATCACATGACAGGAAGTCAATGGAGAACCGCTATTAGCCTGTAATGACTGATCAAACAAAGTCACTGAGCTTTGCATCACAGCAACTAAATGTTATCTGCATAAAACTGAAAACTCTCTCCAAAATCTCTGAGAACAGCACAAGTATTAGAAACAACCTGGATTTCAGGTCAACAAACCTTGTAAAACATAGGAGAATCTAAGCCTGAGTGTAGGCAGGTGCAGTCTGTTTTCTCCACTCTAGGTGGCGCTTGACACGAGCGGTACTGGAGCTGGAGAGGAAGTCAAGTGAAACCTGGTTTCTCTATGGTTTCCTCGGTTCCCCTGCAGCAGCATACTGGTTGGCTAGGCTGCATTCAGGTGACTGGCAGCCATCTTGGCTCAAGCAGAGTCTACTTAAAGGATGAGTGCACCTTTCGTAACATGTTACACCCACATTCAGGATATAACATGTTACAAATGGACCTGCCCCTGCACCCCCCCTCCCCTCCCGGTCCCCCTGCTGTGACAGCTAGCTGGGGATCTTCTTCCCCTGCTAGCTGTGACAATTTAAAAATAGACGCAGCCATAAGGGGCTCCGTCCGACTGTGTCTACCATTCGCAGTGTTCTGTGAATGAGAAAACTACAAGTCCCAGCAACCTTTGCGGCTGTCAGCTTGTAGCTCTCAATGAAATACCACAGCACTGTGCTAGTTCATTCAGTCTGTCAGTAAGCCTGACCGTGTCTCCCATTCGCAGTGTTCTGTGAATGAGAAAACTACAAGTCCCAGCAACCTTTGCAGCTGTCAGCTTGTAGTTCTCAATAAAATACAACAGTGCTGTGCTAGTTCATTCCAGCCTTCCTGTCAGTAAGTATCCCCGTACCAGGAAGCTGATACACTGACAGGCCTGCAGGAGACCTGCATGGCATCAGCGATCTGCTGATGCTTTACAGGCTCCCAAAACAAAAAAATAATAAAATGCACATTTTTTTACCTGCAAAAAAAATGTGCATTCATTATATTTTGCAGAAGGGTGAACTTTTCCTTTAAGTCCCTGCCCCCAGGATTTGCAAAGTGGCTTAGGAAGGGAGAACTTACCCGCCCGTCAGGGACAGCACTAGCGGTAGGGGAAAGGTTCCAGAAGAGTCGGGTAAGAACAGGGCCTACATTCACACTTCTGCAAGCTCCCTCTTGGATTGGACTGGCCATGCCGCACCACACCTCCCCCACAGGCTCGGGCCTATACCACAGACCCTCCGCTGCATTGACTGAGTTCCTGGCCGGGTGTTTCTTCCCATCGGGCTGTTGTATCTGATCTGCAGGTTCTTCAATACATTGGTTTCTGCATCCCAGGCCTCGGTGTCATTCCTGCCACGACACCACGCTACATCTAACCCACATGTGTGTGAACCTGACATGTTTTATATGGTCAGCAAACACATATCACATTGCTGCAGTGTATTGACATAAGAGTCACTTGTCCTCTGTACAGAACATAAAAACACGCACAATACACGGCCTATACTTACCCAAGGTGATAAACGAGTTTATATTTAACCAGCCTGAGATTGTGGAGGAGAACTCTGCTACCTCTACTACCCTCCATACTACACAAGAGGGCTGGAAGCTGCTATGGGAAGGGCTGTGCTCCCCTTTAATGTCTGACATTTGCACTCATTAACATACAGTACCGGGTGATGAGCGGGACCTGCGGCTTTATACAAAAACTCCTGACACCCCCCCTCCCCCCCAGTCTCAGAGGTCAAAGGAAAAAATAATCAATATAGATGTATTGCCAACTTTAAAGAGGACCCTCACTTAAAGGTTCTGCCCCTTCTGCTAACAAATGTGGAAGATGGTTCCTTTCCATGACAGGTACCCTGCTCCCACTTCCCCAAAATTCTTGCCTAGGAGAAAATTAAAAGTACAAAGTTTTTTCTTTTTTGTAAAATAATAAACATGTTATGTCATACTTACCTGCTCTGTGCAACGGTATTGCACAGAGAGGCCCAGATTCTCCGCCTCCTCTGGGGTTGCCACACAAGCGATTTTGGCTCCTCCTCTTCTGCGTGCGCAATCAAGGCAATCCACTTCTGATGGGTGCTCGCCCCCCAAGTAGGCCTGTGCACGTCCATAGACACACAGTGTAGTTTTGGTCCCGCCTAGGGGCGGACTGACAACTCACGGGGGCCCCCGGGCAATAGGAAATCATGGGGCCCCTGTGTCCTCGCCCACACTCAAACCACTCCCAAAAAAAGCCTATGAAAGGTACCAGGGGCATCTCATGGGGCCCCCTACTGACCCCGGCCCCTTGGGCAGCGCCTGAGTGCCTAAATGGTCAGTCCGCCCCCCCTGGTCCCGCCCCCTCCTCACAGGATTTGATTGACAGCAGCAGAAGCCGATGAGTAAAGAGAGAGGAGAGAGCTGCAGACAGACAGCATTGGATCGAGAAAGGGTCGATACAGAGGCTGAGATATTGTTTACTGTAATGCAGGGAATGTACTAAGGTAAAAAAAAAATGTCTTACCTTTATAATCACTTTAAGTTAGCAGTTGCATAGGGACAGGTGACCAGCATAGGGATGGTGGGAACCCCTCATAATGGGCACAGCGGGTGTACAGACCCGGAAATGCAGCACAGGGATGGTGGGAACCCCTCATAATGGGCACAGCGGGTGTACAGACCCGGGAACTCAGCACAGGGGATGGTGGGGACCCCTCATAATGGGCCTGTCAGGTGTACAGACCGAGGAACTTGGCACAGGGATGGTGGCAACCCCTCATAATGGGCCTGTCAGGTGTACAGACCGAGGAACTTGGCACAGGGATGGTGGAACGTAAACAAAAACCTAAGCAGTGACCCTCTGTAAAGAGACATTTTCCTGCAATCAGAAGCCTGACCGGGTGGTAGTGTCAGTGTCACTCTTGCAGCAGGCAGCTGGCATTCCCACTCCTCCACCTAGGGGGGGCGCTCTCTGTCTGTACAGCAGACACCAAACCACTACAACTGGGTAATCTTGCAAGGACTGAGTTTTATCACATTTTCCTGTCGATTATTCTCCAACTTACCTTCCCGACAATAGGCAGCTCTACGGAGCCCCACGTGTCTGCACCCCAGTGCACCAATCCCGAGGCGAAGTCGGCTGTGACAATCCCTGCAACTAAAACAGAGGAAAGGAATCAGGGCGGAGGCCAGCGAAGGGTTAATATACAGAGCGAGTCTCAGGAAACATCTGCAGAAATTGCATTTCACATGGTTATTAGATTACACAAGCCAATAGACCGGCGGCCGGCTCCAAAATGGGGGAAAACATTATTAACCCTCCACGTTCCAGCGCAGGAACTCCCAGCAACGTCAGATAAAAACTATCCCAGAAAACAGAAACCTTGCTATATAGAGAGATATATATATATATGTGTGGTGTCAGGTATAGGTTTATACCCCCCCCCCCCCCGTATTCAGTGGTAATATACTGTATATATATATATATATATGTGTGTCAGGTATAGGTTTATTATACCCCCCCCCCCCCCCCCGTATTCAGTGGTAATATACTGTATATATATATATATATATATATATGTGTGTCAGGTATAGGTTATACCCCCCCCCCCCCCCCGTATTCAGTGGTAATATACTGTGTATATATATATATATATATATATATATATATATATATAATATATATATATATATATGTGTGTCCGGTATAGGTTATACCCCCCCCCCCCGTATTCAGTGGTAATATACTGTGTATATATATATATATATATATATATATATATATATATATATATTCAGTATATATATATATATATATATATATATATATATATGTGTCAGGTATAGGTTATACCCCCCCCCCCCCCCCCCGTATTCAGTGGTAATATACTGTGTAATATATATATATATATATATGTGTGTGTCAGGTATAGGTTATACCACCCCCCCCCCCCCCCCCCCCCGTATTCAGTGGTAATATACTGTATATATATATATATATATATGTGTGTCAGGTATAGGTTATACCCCCCCCCCCGTATTCAGTGGTAATATACTGTATATATATATATATAATATATATATATAATATATATATATATATATATATATATGTGTCAGGTATAGGTTATACCCCCCCCCCCCCCCGTATTCAGTGGTAATATACTGTGTATATATATATATATATGTGTCAGGTATAGGTTATACCCCCCCCCCCGTATTCAGTGTAAATATACTGTATATAAATATATATATAATATATATATATGTGTCAGGTATAGGTTACCCCCCCCCCCCCCCCCGTATTCAGTGGTAATATACTGTGTATATATATATACACATGTGTCAGGTATAGGTTATACCCCCCCCCCCCCCGTATTCAGTGGTAATATACTGTGTGTATATATACATCACATTCAGCGGCAGTACCGCCGGCCGAACACGACCTATTCAAGTGAATGGGGTTGGGGTTCAGCGAGGCGTGATTTTTAGGGGTTAAAACAGGCGGTCTTTTATCCCACCTCCCCCGCATGTCAAACACCCTCTGAAAAGCGATCTGCCGTGGATCTCCCTTTAGAGGGCTTACCCAAGTGTAAACGAGCCCTTAGAGCGAACATTTCCTTTAAAGCGACATAAGAAAATGCTGGTAAAAGCACAGAAAAATCAGATATTGTAAATGCTTACTTGCAGAGTTTTTCCTTTCAAAAGGCGATTTTTTTTTATTGACGGTCAATGTGCTCCTGGCTGGGGAGCCACACACACACACGCCCGTACCCAGGGACCACACACACACACACAGCCCGGGTACCCAGGAGCCACACACACATACACACAGCCCGGTACCCAGGAGCCACACACACACACACACCACACAGCCCGGAACCCAGGAGCCCACACACACACACACACACACACACACCCCCCCCCCCCCCAAACCCAGGAGCCACACACCCACACCACACAGCCCGGTACCCAGGAGCCACACACACACACACAGCCCGGTACCCAGGAGCCACACACACACACACAGCCCGGTACCCAGGAGCCACACAACAACACACACAGCCCCGGTATACCCCAGGAGCCACACACACACACAGCCAAACCACACAAGAGCAACCCAGGAGCCACACAAAACACAAACACACCAACACCAAGCCACACACACACACACAGCCCGGTACCCAGGAGCCACACACACACAGAACCCAGGCCCACACACACACACACAGCCCGGTCAACCCAGGAGCCACACACACACACAGCCCCGGTACCCAGGAGCCACACACACACAGCCCGGTACCCCAGGAGCCACACACACACACAGCCCGGTACCCACAGACCCACACACACACACAGCCCGGTACCAGGAGCCAGGACCACACACACACACAGCCCGGTACCCAGGAGCCACACACACACAAACACACCCCCCGGTACCCAGGAGCCACACAACACACACACACACACACACACACAGCCCGGTACCCAGGAGCCACACACACACACACACACACAGCCCGGTACCCAGGAGCCACACACACACAGCCCGGTACCCAGGAGCCACACACACACACAGAGCCCGGAACCCAGGAGCCACACACACACACAGCCCGGAACCCAGGAGCCACACACACACACACACACACACACACACACACACACAGCCCGGTACCCAGGAGCCACACACACACACAGCCCAGTACCCAGGAGCCACACACACAGCCCCTCACCCAGAACCACACAGCCCCTCACTCGGAACCACACAGCCCCTCACCCAGAAACCACACAGCCTGGTATCAAGGACCTCACAGTCTGATACACAGAAGAGATCTGAGCCTGGCTGACCAGGTGACCTGCAATGCACTGTGGTACAGACAGAGGCACCTCTCTGGGAGAAGACCTGGGAATGAACACATTATCATTTATGAGTTTATTGCCCTTCTTCACACCCGGCTATCACAGGCTATAACCTTTTATCAGTCACTGTTCAAACATGGCAGACCTGACTTATCATGGGAAGAGATAGAGGCCTTCCTCTGTTTACTCACTAACTAGGGCAGAGGACAGCCTGGTCCCCATACACGGTTGTCTTTCATTCACCCCAGAGGACTTCTATAGGGTAGCGTGGGTTGTCGGGGCCCAGGACAAGGAAACCTTTTTGGTACAGATAAGTCGTGTTTTTCCTGTCCTGAGTTTGGCTTGCAGTTTCATCGGATCGGATTGTATTTGATACGATTTTGCTGCAGTTTTCTCTCACACATGTATAGGGATGGCCATAGACACGGATGACGGCTGACATTCCCACATGTACAGGGATGGCCATATAGACACGGATGACGGCTGACATTCCCACATGTACAGGGATGGCCATAGACACTGATGACGGGCTGACATTCCCACATGTATAAGGATGGCCATAGACACCGATGACGGCTGACATTCCCACATGTATAGGGATGGCCATAGACACGGATGACGGCTGACATTCCCATATGTACACATGTATAGGGATGGCCATAGACGCCGATGACGGCTGACATTCCCACATGTACACATGTATAGGGATGGCCATAGACACTGATGACGGCTGACATTCCCATATGTACACATGTATAGGGATGACCATAGACGCCGATGACGGCTGACATTCCCATATGTACACATGTATAGGGATGACCATAGACACGGATGACGGCTGACATTCCCACATGTACACATGTATAGGGATGGCCATAGACACCGATGACGGCTGACATTCCCATATGTACACATGTATAGGGATGGCCATAGACGCCGATGACGGCTGACATTCCCATATGTACACATGTATAGGGATGGACCATAGACACGGATGACGGCTGACATTCCCACATGTACACATGTATAGGGATGGCCATAGACACGGATGACGGCTGACATTCCCACATGTATAAGGATGGCCATAGACACCGATGACGGCTGACATTCCCATATGTACACATGTATAGGGATGGCCATAGACGCCGATGACGGCTGACATTCCCACATGTACACATGTATAGGGATGGCCATAGACACTGATGACGGCTGACATTCCCATATGTACAGGGATGGCCATAGACACTGATGACGGCTGACATTCCCCAACATGTATAAGGATGGCCATAGACACCGATGACGGCTGACATTCCCACATGTACACATGTATAGGGATGGACCATAGACACCGATGACGGCTGACATTCCCACATGTACACATGTATAGGGATGGCCATAGACACCGATGACGGCTGACATTCCCATATGTACACATGTATAGGGATGGCCATAGACGCCGATGACGGCTGACATTCCCATATGTACACATGTATAGGGATGACCATAGACACGGATGACGGCTGACATTCCCACATGTACACATGTATAGGGATGACCATAGACACGGATGACGGCTGACATTCCCACATGTACACATGTATAGGGATGACCATAGACACCGATGACGGCTGACATTCCCACATGTACACATGTATAGGGATGACCATAGACACGGATGACGGCTGACATTCCCACATGTACACATGTATAGGGATGACCATAGACACTGATGACGGCTGACATTCCCACATGTACACATGTATAGGGATGACCATAGACACTGATGACGGCTGACATTCCCACATGTACACATGTATAGGGATGACCATAGACACTGATGACGGCTGACATTCCCACATGTACACAGGTATAGGGATGGCCATGAATGAATGTGACATTTACATTACAACTTCACCAGCAAAAGTATCAATATCTATATATTATTGATATCAACATCCCTCCCGTTATATTGTAAAGCGCTGAGCAAACTGTTGGTGCCATATATATCCTGTATAAATAATATAATAATAATAGTCCTCCCTAAAAAAAAACAACATAAAAACTAGACAAGAATAATAAAAATAAAACGATGGCAGCCACCAAACCTAAAGACTGGTAAATGTAAAAGATTTTGTTCTTGGATTTAGATACGCTTCAACTTCTGTGAAAACATAAGAAAAAAGGAGCAGAGAAATCGCTCAGGGAGTGTTATAAATGAGAAAAACTTTAGGGGGAAAAAAAAAAAAAAATGGAGGCTTTAATCTGACAGCAATAAATATAAATAAATACATAAGGATG